TTGCCTACTCCACTTGCCCGCAACACCTCCACCCACCATCAACGGGAGGTTTTTAGTCTGATCCCAGACACTACTCCTATAAATATTTCACTGTGATGAAATTTTGGATTCCTATTAGGAATATGCTTAACATCTCAAATTGTTTCAGGAATTTTATTTATTTATTTAATTCATATAAACGGACCTTCCATATTTTTTATTTGTTTATATATTCATATTGGATGAAATTTTAATTACAATAACTTTAAATCAATCAGTATTTGCAGAATCGGAGTAATTATTTTTTTATTAACTATAATAACTGTATTCATAGAGTATGTACTCCCGCGAGGACAAATATCATTTTGAAGCGCCACTGTAATTACAAATTTTTTATCAGCAATTCCTTATATTGGATCTACAATAGTTAGCTGATTATGAGGTGGTTTCTCTATTAATAATGCCTTCAATATTTTTTTCCTTTCATTTTATTTTACTATTTATTATTTTATTTTTAGTACTTTTACATACTACCTTTTTACATGAAAAAGAAACATCTAATAGTACATTAGGATTAAATAGAAACCACTTTAAAATTCAATTTAATTTATATTCTGCAATTAAAGATTTTATTAGATTGATTTTTATATTTGGAAGATTACTAATAATTTGTTTACTAAATATATATTCTTTCAGATCCTGAAAATTGCATTCGAGTCAATTCTAAAATTCTCTTCATATTCAACTAGAATGATACTTTCGTTTTACATATGCTATTCTTCGCTCAATTCTTAATAAATTAGGAGGAGTAATTGCACTAATAAAATTAATTATTATTTTATTATTTGTTCGTTTTGTCTCAAAATATGAAATTAAAGGATTTCAAATTATTAATCAAATCCAATCTTAGATTTTTATTAATATTTTTTTATTTTAACCTGAATTGTAGCAAAAATCATTGAAGACCCCGAAGTATTTATTAAACTTATGTATAACAATTAAATAAAAATGATAATAATCAATTTCGACTTAATTTCAAATAAAAACATATCCATTTTTAATTCTTAAGCTAAATAGCATTTAACTTCAAATTATATAAATAGAAATAGATTCAAATAATTTATTCAATAATTATTGACGTAAATAAAAAAAATGAAAATGAAAATAAAAAAAATTAATAATAAAAATTCTTTTTTAACTAAACTTATCATTTTATCATAATGAAATCGTGGAAAACTACCGAGTATCGAAATAATAAAAATTAAAATCAATATAAATATAAAAGAAAATATTAATAAAAAAAATTACTTCCTGAAACAATAAACTAAATATAAATCTTATAAATATAAGTATTTCATATTAAGCAAGAAATAATAAAAAAATGCAGAAACAGTATATTCTGTATTAAGCCCTGATTGTAATTTCCAATCTGATAAATCAAATGTAGTTCGATTTAATTCTGCTGAATTCTCATAAATAATATATAGCTTCTAAAAAGTAAAGAAAGAATAAATCAAGAATAATATTGACTTTCATATAACTCAAATGAATTAAATCTTGCAGATAATAATAATACAGTATAAATGATAAAAATTATAGGAACTTAATAAAAAATAGTTTGAGCTACAACTCGAATATTGCTATTGGACTCATAGAAAGTCACCCCTAATTATTAAAAAATAAAACCCTAATCTTAAAATACAAATACTTTATAATTAATGTATTATATAATTTATAAAATTGACTGTATAAGACAAGCTTATTCGCCAAGAAAATTTTCAAATTTAAATTAAAAAATATTAAAAAATATATATATTTATAATCATAAAGATATCTCTATGTATAAGATTATTGCCCAGACATATTAAACACAACACAATAATAAAGTCGAGTACGATACTCGTATGTGCTTATATCTAATATTCATCCTCTCATTCTATTCTCATTCTATAAAAGTAAGATCAAAATAATTACATATTTTCTTACTTTGTTACTTTGTCTTACTTTGTATTGTCTAATATTTTTTTCATCTAATATTAAGTTTGGAAATTATCAAACCTGATAATAACGTTAGTAAATATATACAAACCAATTTTAAATAAGCTTCTTTTAGCGACAAAAATTTGTCATTTATATACAAGCAAATAAATCGCTTTCGAGTAATTTAAAAATGTTAAGTACTTATTCTCGTAATCAGACATAGCAGAAATACGCAATACATAGATAATACTACTTATGTAATTGCAGATCTATGTAGAAAATATATATAAGCAAGTAATATTTCCAAGACAATAATTTACTAATATCAATTATAGTTTTTATTATTTCATAATTTTTTTATATATTTAAAAAAGATTTATTTTTCGGCAAATGTTATTCGAAAATAATTCGTAAACAATTTTGGTTGAACAATATAACAAAATTAAAATGTACTAAAACACCTAATAATTTATAAAATACGTTTGAAATAATCTAATAATTAAATGTAAAAACCAATTTCTTAACAAAAAATATTAAGATGACAACACATTCAATGAAATTAAAAATCATTACTTTCTCTTAATTAGTTTAGGGAAACGATTAAAATATAGGGTAGAAATATTTCCTTACTGATTATTAACTGTATAACAGCAATAAAGAAGAATGAATAACGTCGATTAAATTAATCATCCATAGACTGTTGATTGTTAACTTATGATTCTGATACTATACATTTTGTATAGTTTTTATTTACCAAATTTTTCGCGTATGGATAGTATTAAATTTTTTGTCACTGTAATATCGATAGCAAAATTAAAAAAATATATTTAAATACTTTAGCAATAAAGTCATCTTAATCATAGTAACTTCTGCTTTTGTAACTTAATTTATAAATTCCACTTTAAATAGTAGCATTTTTAAATCAGTTTCTGGAACCCATATCAGCACATTTTAATTGTAAAGAAACTAATGTATACTTTTAATTCAAACTACCTATTATCATTATGTACAAATTATTTATATAGAAAATATCGGTAGTTAGAGATAGTAACCATAATGAAAAGATTGCTAAATTACAATGAAAATACTATAAATGATTCTATTTGAGAATGAGAGACCTCTTTTAATACAATAAAACATCTGAAATATTTCCACTGAATAATTTGCTTATTTACTCTTGTCTATTTTCAAGCGTGCTCATATTTTCCCGATACGGTAAAATTGATGTGTTTACTGCCAAGAAGACGTAGATTCTGACTGAGTGTCGAATATACGTAAACTAACGAGTACAAACATTTCCTGAAAATTTACTGCAACCCAAAACTCTGCACGTGCGACAACAAGCAACAGGCGTGCATGCGGACCCGGTCTTTGGGACAATGCATTGTCTCCAAGTGCGCCGCATCTAGTCGATCGCATCGGAAAAACGACCACGCCCGAGAGGACCCTTTATCTAGCCAAATTCAAGGAAAGGGAGAGGCGACCAAGAAGAGGTAAGGGCTCCCCACTTCCGACACTTTCCCGATTAGCACATTCGGGACTGAGTCCGGAAGGAAGTGGAAATGAAGGCGTGCATAATTCATCATGCTGTCCAAGGTCACTTCTGATTGGAAAATTGAAAGAAGAAGGGGTCCCAAGTGAAACTGGGTCAGTGAACTATTTAAGAAGGAAAATGTACTGTACCACTGACTTACTCTTTCCAAATACTTCTCACAGTAGAAGGATAAGTCACGACCTACTCTCACGGAGGAGGACCGGAGAGACAAGTCGTTTAGCTAGCTGAGTTTCAATAAGAAGTTGTTTCTACGATTGTGAATTAATGTACAGTTGAATTGATCTCATCAAGACTGGATTGCATAGGACCTGATAACTTGTAATCTCACTTGGAGATAAGGAAGAACTAAAGAGTTGCAACATTGCAAGGGGACGTCATAACAAGCCACCGAAGAGAGACTGGAAAATCACGATACACTGCAAGTAAGTCCTTACAGCTAGTACAGATTCTTGATTTCTCGGCTTATGTAGAAGACGGACGAATTATAGTCCAACTACGGAAGCTTCTCGGACATACTCTAGAACAAGACCAGCTACAGACGCCACAATGGCTTTTCAATCCCTCCAACTATAAGTTGTTCCTGCCACAGATGGCGCGCAGCTTCGCATAACCTCCATTTAGGCTCTCTTACGACCAATATTTAAAGGCAACTGTACACGTGTTAAGATAAAATACAATAACATTGCAGTGTTAGTTCAGAGCACTACAATCACCATAACCTCAAGTGATAATATTCAATAGATTATAACCTACTTCTTTTATAGTAAATATATATCATCACAAGATTATTAAGAAATATAAAGATCATTTGTAATTTAACCAAGGTTAATAATTCCCATTGGAAATAAAATAAAATAAATGAATTTAGCAGTAATAATAAAGACCTGTGTTAATTATTGAATCGATGCATTAACCCTTTACTTGCCCGGCAACCCCACACAACATCTAGTGGCTTTTTTTGTTCTAAGTTGATTCTTTCTCGTTTCGCTGACGAGTCAGATTGTGGAATTATTTTCCGAACAGATTCTTTATTCAAATTCTATCAATATACCAAAATAAAAAAAAAATTAAAAATATAAAAGATTTAATTTTTACTATGGTAATCTTTAATTATTATATAATATATTTTATTATATTGTAATAACTTCCACCACTGTTCTAACATTTTCAATTCATATGTTAAAAAGTTAAGGTAACAATTATAAAATATTTATAAACAGTGTATACTATTTAATTTTTTTAAATTATACAAACTCTAAATTAAATTAAATTGATTATGAAAAATGGCATAAAAAGTAATTTTTAAAGTTCATTAATTGAAAATTTTAATTTAAACATAAATTTTACGTTATAGAAATGTTAATTAAATTAACCGTTAAAAATATAAGCAGGAATATTTTTAAATCGAGAAATTTCAAGAGTTAACATAATTTTCACCCATATTTTATTTGATAGCCTGTAGATCAATACTAATCTTGAAGGCGCATGAGCAACAATTACAGGAACGCAGAGGGCGTTCGATAACTCTTGAAATAAAAGGTAATAATAAAATCTTAACAAGTGCATATAAAGTAGTCTTCTTAAAGAATTTCTAGCTTACTGAATACAAGCTGTGCGACCTGCAACTATAATTAAAAATGTCGATGAATAAGAATGTAAAGCCGACAAGAAAGTTGATAGCTAAGGAGCCTCATGAGATGACTCACACGGAAAAACTTCGACTTATTGACGATGAACTCAATGCTTTTTACAAGTTAGTAATATAATTTTATAGTTTTCATTGTTACTATACAAACAAATACTATTACGAAACTGAATAAAAAAGTGTATTAATATCCAAATTTATTTCTACAACTAACGAACCTTTGTATTATTAAATTATTGAATTATTGAATTGTTAAATTCAATTATTGATTGATCAAGTATATTATTGAATTATTAAACATTTATATTAATTTAATAAAACTGATTAATAAAATATTAATTTGTGAATTAATGCGGTATTCTTTATTTGTGATAATTTTTATGCACTAAAAAGTTTAAAATGTTAAATAAATATTTATAAAACCGTTTTAAAAATATATTCTTGAATTTTATTTTATAAAATAAAGCTAACTATAAGATTAACTAAATAAACGTTCTTTCAAACTTATACTTTTTCAAAAACACAGTTAAAAATATGTGTATTTATGTATATATGTATGCATAGACATTTTTATAGGCTGATCTTTGTATAAAAATAAATCTGATATTTTAAGTATAAATAAATTTCACATTTTCTATAATATTTATAAAAAAAATTTCCGTAACAAAAATAACTAAAATTATTATTATTAGTAATGTACGAGTAGTTTTAAAAATCAGTAAAAAAGATAATATATTTGAATTAATTAATAAAATTCTAATGAAGAAAAACTGTAAATTTACAAATATTAATTTTAGTTGCGTGTCGAATATATATATATATATATATATATAGATAGAATATATATATATATTTATATATATATATATATATATGTACTTGATGATTACTAAAAATTATAAAGTAATCATCGGAGTATATTGATATATCAAAATATTCTTATCGTTCGAATTTAAGTGTTTGTTTTATGGCTCGAACTACCAATTCAATAGTTCAGTGGATTAGTCTCTCACCATAGCGTTTAGGAGGAAAAAAGACACAAATGGAAGGGCTGAAAAATATAATGTAATGTAATGTGAGTGTAGATATTGTTTATTCTGGTTATGAATTATAATAATATTGTAGCATTGTTGGTTGCTTCTAGTGAGATAGAGAATTATTCTATTACAGTAGTGCTGGTGCTTCCTTGTGTTCTTGGATGTCGTTGATGCAATAGAGATTAATGAGGATCATCAATGTCGGTTTTATGCTGACATCGTAGGGATCAGCATGAGTAGTCGACCATGCTCTTCAATAAACATGGGAAGATGATAATGTTTGTGGTAATTGTAATCAATAAGAAATCGTAGAGAGTGTAAGCATACTTAATAGGAGCGGATAAGGTTTTCTCTGAGGTAGTTGTTACGTAACTCGACCATACTCCAAGGGAGAATGGGAATATTAGAGTGTAAGTCACACGCCAGAAGATTAAATCAGAAATAGTTCCTTCATGGACGGGAGGGACTTGTCACCAACCCTGAATGACTGAACTCTAGCCTTGACAATGTAAGTACATGTAGAAGGTGAACGTACGGTCTCAGCCCTGCTTGGCTTGAGAGCCTATTGTTTCACCAACCTTATAAAGGCTGAATTCGAGCCTCGACAATGTAATTACATGTAGATGGTAATCTTACGATCTCGGCCCTCTATGGCTTGTGAGAACGTATTGCGTCACTTTTGTAAGTTTTACGCGTGGCGTGATTCGAGTGAGACTGACTAAATTTGTACAAATAATAAATAGAGATACCTTATGAACTACTGTCAAGGTCTGCTGTTTTGGAGGCGTGTCTGGCGCACCTTATTGATTACGATCCCAATAGCTTCACTGTTAGATTGCTACCTTATTTGCAACAGATTCTTATAATGTCGCACGTATGCCTTTAGAGCGATTGTGGGAGATTTCGGTTGAAATTCGTGCTGGCACAAATGATACTGATGTGTGTATGCACAAAATAATAATAACAAATCAATGAGTGAGGTGTAGAATTACAGTGAGCCACAACTGAGTTGACAGTAAAAATACCGTGAGCCAGGTGTGTGGTGACTGAGTGGATATTAAAAGAACAGTGGCATGGTGTGTGGCGCGCTTAAATATTCGCGTAGCAGCTTGCGACGCCGGAAACAGTGCCGATGTCTGTGGCTATGCCGAAAATCGTCGTGACATCAGAGAACGAAGTTCTGGAATGTTCTAGAAGCGTCAAAGGATACGGCCTTGGAAGGTTCTAGAAGTTTCATTGACGTTGCTATGCGAAAATATTGTCGTAAATTTAAATTTAAGGCGTAGACAAATTCCCGGATTCGCTGAATCGTGTTTGCAAATATGAGTATTCGGGAGCCTGTACTTTTCCCAATTTTAAATTCTGCTTAAACTGCTTCAATCCCGAACATTCCGCTCGCCATCATCAATTTGTTGATGATGAAATTTATTTTTCAGGGATTGGTATTACGGCATATTTATTAATTGGGAATATAATTCTTGTAAGTGTCTGGAGAAGATGTGTCTTGAATGAGTGAGCATGTTTCTCACAACCTTCTGCGTGATGTACGAGACTTGATCCATGTGAGAGTTCTCAAGAATCTGCCTTTAATAGCGTTGATATTACCCTTAAGGTCCTTGCTCCTTGTTAAACTTCCCTTGATATGTGGAATGTAAACGACGACTCATGTTTTTTTTTGGTTTAACGAGTGATGAATTTAATATATGGCAGTCCTTCTTAGTAATTTACCTAGCGATGAATGTCTGTATTATGTCTCAGTGATGATTTGATTTAGTTTCCGTCGCCAATAATGTTGTACCAGATCTTGCTTCTAGGTGACATTCTTTTTCATCCAATGTAGGTTGGAATGGTCATGATTCTGGCGATTTGATCCGTGGTGGTCCGGTCCACCACAATGGATGTTCTTGAATTTATGTTGCACGCATACCCCGTGCACAGTTTGCTGGATTCGATGTTCCAGGGACATCTCCAGTGTGCGTTTGAAATTCGATCTTAAATGCTGACAACCCTATTTTTCACGTATTTCTTTCATCTTGATGGATAGGATTTTATCCATGTGACCCGTGAGTCAGGCCAGCAATGGGTTGCCTTAACGTTAATTTTCAATGTGACGAGGACGTACTATGTGAGCTTTGAAGGAGTAACGCTGCAGCAAGCTCTGGTCTTGGAATTGTCGTTAGCGTGAGGGGTGTCACTTTTGTCTTGGAACACATTAATTATTTTATTTTGGTCGTGCACTGATACGTACATGACTGCCGACATTGCCAATTTTTATGCATCAGAGAATCCATGTAGTTCTCTGTGTGAGGTGCTACTTATATTGAGCCACGTAGTATGTAAGGTCGGTCAGGTTGACGAGATCCCTTCTAGTTTTCAGTCATCGTGCAGAAGGCTGAGATGGCATTGTCTGAGAACAACATTTATATACTATGGTATTCATAAATAATATTCATAAATATTTTAAAGATGATGTTATAAAAAAATTCAACCTGTAAAAAGGAAAATGGAACAAATGGTAAATCACATTATTTTGTTTTTGTGTGTTAAATTTATATATTGATTTATTGGTCAGATATGTTTTCATATTAATTCGTATATATAATTTTTATTTTATTTCCATCATTCGCATTATATTATATTCTTACAATATTATAGAATATTGTATAATATGATATATACAATAAATAAAATACTTAATTTATTAAGTTTTAATAAAATGATACAAATATTATTTATACTTTAATGTTTTTTGACGTATTAAAGGACACTCTAAATAAGACATTATTTATTACTATATATTTTTAGAAAATTTAATAAATTAAAATGAATAATTCATTATAGTTCAACACAATTATCATATAACTTCATATAAATTCAACATAATTATAATTTAATTATAATTTAAATATAAATATTTTATTATATATATTTATATATATATATATATATATATATATATATATATATGCGTTTGCGTGTATGTGGGGTTGAAATGGATTTTTAGATTTAATTTTTTTCGTATAAAAATTAAAGTATATATCATTTTTCTCTTGGTCTCGGATTATATAATTTTTATTTGTCCTTTTTCATTATTATGGTCTATAAATTCCTGTTTAAATTGTATAGAAAAAAAAGAAGAATTAATTCAACCCATATCATTCGATTTTTGTTTATAGATATTGCCAGCAAGCCGGATTCACAGAGGACGAAATGGATATTATTTGTCAGCCGCTGGTTGCGGCGATGCGCCGCTCATGGCTTCAACTCGTTTTTCAAGCAACCCTCGTTCTTATCACTTTTGGTACCTTGATTTGTCTTGTTGCTCAATTAGATTTTGTTGGCACTCATTTTTCAGCTATAGGACGATTACTTATGATTAAATTTCTACCTATCTGGAACTGGCAACCACTTTATTACGAAAATTGCATGATGAATAATCCATTTTACAATGATTATGCTGTTACCGAAGAAGATTGTGTTGTAAGTGACTAATACATATAAACATTTTAATTTATTGATGTTAACTATATATTTTAACTATTTATTATGTTTCAGAAAACTTTCTTTCAAAAACTTATGTTTAAAATATAATTAAACAATTAAATAAAAAATTATATTAATAAGAGCAACATTGCATTTAAATAAAATAATATTATAAGAAACTATAAATAATTTTGATATCCATTAATTAACTTTATAAATTTATATTTATATATATATATATTATCCAATTAAAATAATTAAAATATATATTATTTTAATCTTTTGTTATAATATAATGTTTTTAAATATTTCAATCGAATAAATATCTTTAAATATATACTTTATGTTGATATATATAAAATTAAAAAATTATAAAGTTTATTGAAATATACAATAAAATATAAAATAATGTGTGTGTATATATATATATATATATATATATATATATATATATATATACAATTATTGTAATAAATTCTCTTCTATAAATTGGATTTTCTAGAATGATGAAGTTTCAAGATTTTTAACTCAAATTCTAAATATATAAATGAATAAATTTTTAGCTTGAAATATAAAATGTCATAAATTTTCTATTAAAATAATACTTATTAAACAACTGTCAATTTATATATACAAAAATACTACTTTATCTTTTTCTTTGTTAAATTCATTATAAAACGCTTTATACGTTTTGCATACATTTTCTGACTAATTTTATTTCTACACGGAAACATCAAGTTCTATTATTTGTATATTGCGAAAACTTTTAAAGTTTTCATCTATTAGTTACTATTGTAATATATAAATACTTTTCATTCTATTTACTATTAATTTTGAACGTTCCTTTAAATATTAATTAACCATGGATATTTTTAATTATGTATTTCAGTTTCATTATAAAGATAGTATATTCTTGTATTCCTTATTAGCTTCTACAATATTATATTATGATATTTATATTGAAAGTATGTTGTTTTAATGACTCATTATGAAACAGTGGTAAGAATTCTTATGACTTTTTTAATATTGATGATTCAGAAGCTTTTTTTCAATCAAAATTCCTAGTAATTCAAAATTTATACTATCGATATATAATATTTTATATTTATAAAGTTATGCATACATTTATTTATTTTTATTACTGTTATTTTATTTGGCACATTAAAATTATTCCTTATTTATTTGGATGCAATATAACTTATTACAATAATATTTATTTTAGGCATGTGAAGCACTGGAAAATATCGATCGATTATCGGATGTTCAATATCGCCAATTAGTAGACAATTATCTAAATCGAGATGCTCCTGCTATTATTATAGATGCTATGAATTCTTGGACTGCCATGAATACCGATTTTTTCTGGTTCGACAACATTACTCATGTACGTAACATTTTAAAGACTTTTTAAATAATTTGATATAATTGTGTTATCCTATCTTTACTATTTACATCGTAGAACTGTATAGTAATTTTTCTATACATATAATAATAATAAATATAGTAATTATGATAATGATAGCAATGTTATATAAGACTTTAAATAATACTTAATGTGATCATTATTTAGGAGGATATTAATAAATTTAACTACATATTTATGTATATTTCACAAAATAGAAAATATTACAAATAACAATAATTATTTAATATAATGTATACTATTTTAATTTAACTATTTTTTTAATATTTATGTATGTACAGGACATTAAAAAAAGTTTGTATTTTTTAAAAAACTTTAATTAATTAGAATATAATAAAAATAATAATAGTTTCATACTTATTCAAATTATTAATACTATACTTTATTTATCAAAATTATTTACCTGTAAAAATTGCAATATAATTTTTTAATAAATTTTGTAAATACAATATTTAAAATTAATATTATACATTTTCATGATATTTTCTAAATATTCTAATTCTTTATATAAAGTATTTTTTAATACGTTTTTATTTTGTATATAAGAGATTATATAAAATAACAGTTATTTTTCTAAAAAAAATCGTAAATTTTAATTTTATTATATAAATTTTAATTAATCTTTTATTATTACTGAAAAACTATTTTGTTATTTATTTAATTCTTTTAAACTAACTAATGCTTTTATTGTACACTTCTCTACTTTATTACTATATATTAAATTTGTATTCACAAGAGAAATAAAATAAACTAATAAAATAATACCACTTTTTTATTCTTATTTTAATAAAACGATTATTACGAGCACTTCAATGTTTGATATTTAAATTCGAATTCATTAAAAAAAGTACATTAAATCTAAATGAATATTTAAATTTAAATGAATATTTATAGTATCCGAAATATATCAGTAAGAATCAAATTGGTTTAACCAAATAATGTATTTCATATATATTATTCATGTTCATCTTAATTGTTAACATTACAAATATAAATTAAATATATGTATATGAATTACTATTTATGTCTTTTTAATTTAGTTATATCTAGAAAATGAGCGATTGATGGAAACTGTCCCATGTGCACTGACTTCAAACTTACGAACTGGTTCCTCGGATCTTGCAGCTTTTTTACGCCGCGTGCACTCCCCAGGCGTAGCCAAATGGTTCGTGCATTGGCAAAATTGCGACATAAATGCAGTGAAGGTGTTACGCAAATATTATCAACGACCCTATTTTTTGTCAAGTGCCGTTTCTCCAGCTCACTTCAACTGGGTACTCATGTCTTCAGACTACAACAGCCCAAATTATAAGAGAGTGGAACTAGACTCAGGTCTCATTGCGCTAGCTCAGCTAAGAGGTGCAACTCAACTTAGACTCACACCAATTAATCCATGTAATATCTCCTGTCCAGAACTGATAGCTGATTTACATCAGGGCGAAATATGTCAGTAATTTTTTTAATTTCTTGTCCATTTATATTGTTGACTTATATACAAATTTTTCAAAAAATAAATTGCAAAATATTGCAAAAATATTTTAATATAATATTTTATAATATTAAAATATTACTTTTTAAATTGTGTTTAAAGTGATTTTATTTATATAAGATTTTATTTAAATGCAATGACTTATCAATATAAATGATTAAATGAATATGAATAATTTATTATTCTAAAAGTATATTTTAAAATAATTTCAATAAAAGTAAAAAAATTTAATATTTTTAAGAGAACTATAAAAATTTGTTAATATTTAATGTACAGACAAAATTTTAATAGAATCGGAATATTAATTGTAATAAATTAATAAATTATATTTACTTACAGTGGTATTCACAAATCTTATTTGGAACCTTGAATATGCTCCAGTGCGAGGACTTGACAATATAGCGATACTTACAGAAACAGTGTGGGAAGAAGATATATAAAGGACATTACTTGATATATTTTTAAATTAACATATTTTATGAAAAATCTAAATTATCATTTAGCACATCTACATGTATAAAAAATTTAGTTTATGAGTATTATTATAATAATAATAAGTAAAAGTAAAACAATAAAGATCAATTATTTTTTCTCTTCTCATCTGTACTACTCCATTTAATTCTCAACTTCTTTCCTAAGACAGTTATTATTTTTTACAAAACTTCATAATATTTTATCTTTCAATTTTTATTTTAATATATATTTATTTACATTGTCTACTATTAAATAATAATAAATATATAAATAAATTTGCTTAATTATTTAATTTAATTTTTATTTGTATCCTTATAAATAATATTTATAAAAACTTTATAAATTGCAAACATTTATTAAATGTAGCTTTAAATTACTTTTAAATGCATACTCCATTTTACTTTATTTTAAAAAATAAACCATAAAAATAATAATTTCAAGTAATATTTTATTGTGAACTTTTAATAGGCTTAATCTATTAATACTAACGACGAAACTTGAATTTAGAAAAATTCAAATATTTTAATTTGTATTATTATAATTTGTAATATTTTATTTATACTACATTTTTGTTTAAAACATTAATTAAATAAATATCAACTAATAAAATGATCATACAAAACATAATAAAAATTATGCACTTACATACTTATCATTTAAAAATAATGCGTATAATACCTACTTACATAATAACATTTTCTTATCTTAATATCTACTTGTATTGTCTAAATAAATAAAATTTTCGATGACTTTCTTGAAAAATACTAAGTAAAATGATTGAATTTTGCATAAAAAGGTGTTATACTGTTTTGTTATTATATTTGTTACAGGAATTCATTGTTAATATTTATTTTTTAAATATAATTAGAAACATTTAGTAATATTAATATTTATAGAATTTTTTTAATTATATAAGCTATATTATCTTATCATACAAGAATAGTTAGATAAAATCCAATAATTTGTTATACAAGAATGCACAAACAAAATATATTAGAAACTATTAAATCTAAATTTGCAGTATATTAAATAATAATATTTGTATTGTCATTGAATCATAAAGTTTTTATCATATTGAGATAATAATAGAATCAAATTATCTATGCATTTAGATTAAATAATGATATTTACATAAAATCATATTTGTTTATGTGCTGTATAGCTCGTCGTGTTGACTGCGTAATCGTTATTACGCTAGAATGAGACAAGACTGGCTTGTGACCTCTTCGTGTTGACTGCGTAATCGTTATTACGCTAGACGAGACTGCGTTTCAGACAAAGACTAAGCGCTGCGTGGCAAGCGCAGCCCTTAAGTATTCTCGTGGTAGTTTTAGGCGCCGGTAGCAATCCGGTGTCTGCTGCTATGTCGATATTTGTCGTGACGTCCATAGGGCATAGCTTTGGAAGTTTCATTGTTATAATTCTTCGGAATTATAGTCGTATATTTGAGTTTTCGGCGTAGAAATATTCTTCGAGTTCGTCGGCTAGTATTTATAAACAACTGTTCACGCGCTCATACCTCTCCCACTTTTGTATTCCGCTTTCAACTGTTTCAATCCGTAACAATACTATTGAATTTATATTTACATATTTGAAACCTGATTAACGAATGGGCATTAGTATATTATTTTATATATAATCAATATAAACGTTCATGTTAATCCATGAGTATGTGTAAATATATTAGATTTCGCAAAGTATTATTTTTAGTTTTGCGTATATGTAATGTATGCTTGATAGTATTCATTTCATAATTTAATCATCTTTTGACAAACATCTCGTATTCATCTGTTGAATGAAATTGACCAATTATAAAATAACGTGAATAAGAAAAAGGAGGATAAAATACTCTTTTCTTATTAATATAAATATTGTTCATTGACTTTTTCAATAAGGAATGTAACTAGTATATGGAACTTGTTTATTTATAAACATAAAAATATGTTTAAAAAATATAATCTAATATCATTATATTACTAAGACAAAAAGCATTTCCATTAAACAAACATATAGTCATTCATTATTCAAATAATAAACAAATGTATAAATCTTAGATTTTAGAATTTTTATGATATTAATAACTGGAATCTACTTATACCTATCAGCATTAACATCAGCATTTATTAATATCAGCAATCTACTATTAAAATTAAACTTTTCATTTTAATCGACAACCATATATAAATAAATAAGTATTTTGATTAATTTTTTTTTTTTTTTTAATAACTATAATTTTTCATAATTGCAGAATAAATTAAGTTAATTATAGTTATTAACAATAAATAATTTTGAATACCTTCATTTTTAAACAAAAATGAGCTATACCGGTTTTTTTTTCATTTAGAATTTATATAATATTTACAAATGATGATAAAATAACGAGTATTATATTTTTAATCAATTATTTATAAGATATTATACCTATATCTATAATTTGTATTTTATTTAAATATATATTGTATTCTATATTATAATAATAGTATTGTATTCTATTAAAGCTAAATTATAATAATCAAATGATATCTAGTTGAGTTTTGTAAATTTTGAAAAACTTTCATTTTAAATATCGAACAAAATAATTTTTATTAGTTTTCAATTTTTTCAATGGAATACACTATCATATATAGTAGATAATTTTATAAAAACTAATGAAGATCTTTAGATAGAATCAGATATGTTCTGTTTATATATGTATAACCAGATATAATTATTTATGAAATACTGGGATAGAATGTATAATTTTTTGGTTTACTAAATATTTTATGTATAATGAAAAATCAAGTACTTGCCAACTGTAAGGCTAGAACAGCTAAAAATTAGTTGGGTTTTATTTAATTACTTAATTTTTACAAAAATACAAATTAAAATGATGTATAAAGATTACGAGTGTAATTGCGTTGATTACAATTATTCAAATAAATTTTTAATTTTTTATTTCAATTATAATGTTTTATTTTTCTTTAAAAAGGCTTTGATACTTAAATCAGCACAATTAATTTTATGTTAGATGCTTGATTTTTTATTATAATTTATAGATGAATCGATTAAATTTTTTCACCAAATTGTAGGAATCTCGATTTCTAAAGGTTGTAAATATATTACAAGTAACCGCGCTTCTTATTCAAGCGTTCTAATATAATGTGGCTATTTTATTATTATTACAATCAATAGTTGCTGTTAATAAAAATCATTAATAAAAACAATGTTCTGTATTAAGAACTTTTTAATGTAAAGTCCAATAAAATTAAACTTAATTTTATATTTATTTGTAAATATTACTCTAGAAAATTTTTATAAATTTATTTATCCGTAATTTAAGCAATGAATTTAATTGAATATAAATTTCGTAGACATTTTAAACATATTCATCGTATTAAGTCAGTATTTATATGTACAAATGCGCGAGTATTAAACAATAATAATAACGTAATTTCTTAAGTTAAATAAATTACTCTGCTTTCCATGATTTGCATTGTCAATTATCTTACTTAAGCCAATTATAAAAAATTCTGAAAAATGGAAAATTTGTAACACTGTTTTGAAGAACTAAGAAAATTGTAATACATATAACATATCCTACTATATATTCTAATTGAATCAAGATAAGTTTCAACTAATGAAGTATAATGAAATAATTATCTGGCATATGTCTATGTACATATTTTTTGAGTTATTTATTATCAATGAAAAACCTATATTTATTTAACATTTATAATATACAAATTTTTAAATAATATAATTATTAGTTTCATTAGGTAAAATAAAGACATATATATATATATATATATATTAAAAATACTTATTCTAACATAATTTATATAAATAAAATACAAAATATTTTTAACATATGTAAACTCATTTTAGCTAGTATAATATATTGTAATATATAATTTTTAATTTATTCTAATTAAAATATATATTTACTTTAAAAATTTAACAAATATTAACAATCTCTTTAAACATATTTAATCATAATATTATAAGTATTAGATTTTATTTAAAGAAATATTTTAAATAAATAATTCGTAACATTTAATAAAATTGAATACAAAATAAGAAAAGAATACAAGAATATTTAAATATATCAATTGAAGTTAAATGTATGTAATAAATTATTTTATTTTTTGCGTAATTTAAATATATAAATATATCGAAAATCGTTTAAGGAAGAAATAATGCATATAACAGTATTAATACATGATTTTTTAATTATTCATAACAATATAAAATTATTCATAAATTGTTATTCTTAAAATAAGTGATTAACATTAACATCGAAATAATTATAAAATTAAATATATAAATATATTTATACATAATATAAATGAACGATGTTTTACTAATATATAAATGGAAAGAATCTTTTATACAAAATATTGAAAAGTAAAAGTGAAAAAATGTTTAAAACAACAAATTAAAATATGTAACTCTTTATTCTGATTGCAGCAATTTAATGGTATTCCATATCCTGTGATTATTTGGAAAAAAACTAAAATTCTTTTGCTAAATATCAGCACGTACGTATATTACATGCAAAAACAAAATCAAATGTCTTTTAAATATTTATAAGGTTTATCGATTTCATTACATTAGCTTTTTAAGTTTAAACTTTTTTTACTTCGTTAAAAATTCATGAAACACAAAAACAATCACTAATTATGACTTGTAAAACTAATGGTAATATATCAACTTATTTTATGTATGTATTCTCTTTTCTTTAAAAATGTTAAAATTTGATAAAGATTTCAAAATTGAATATTTCTGTATATTTGCATTACCATACTAATAATATCAAATCATAATAATCAGTTTTATCCCTTTCTATTGTCCTTAATTATATATTCACATACATTTTCTTTTTTTATATATCATTTATATAAGATTGGGAGAAAGAAATGAATAATTTCAAAGATATTTTGTAGAAAATATCATATATGTAATTATATAATGAAAATTTGCACTAATTATATATATATATATATATATATATATATATATATATATATACGCTCATATTTAATTACATGTGTATCCATTTATAACTACGTGAATATATAGATACACGAACGTATATGCATGCATATGTTATATATATGTTGCACAGGCTCGCGCGTTCACGTATGTACGTATATGCATTCTCTGACATAAGTGCATATAGAATCATTCATATATGTAAGGGCAAGCATGGATGCTTACTTGCTTATGCATACAAATATTTGTAGTATTTATTAGTCATTATCATATATTTTAATAATTATATTGCGTGAACATAAATAATATACACATTTATAGTTTCAGTGTTTCAACTTATTCAGTGAAACCCATGAAAAAGGAGATCATTCAACCAATAATGTTCTTATTAGATTTCAAAACATTTTTTCTTAACAATGCATAAAATCTTAATACGCAACTGATAGAAAATAATTGTGTATTAAATTATATTAAATAATCAATTGAAACTCAAATAATATAGATATTCCTGATTACAATTTTACAATCGATATAATCAACGTGATGTTCTTAAGATTTAATTTCAATCGATTATTATTCAGGTTTTTTGAAATCAACTTTGAATAATATTTACTTCATTAACGTTGTTTTATCTATTTTTTAATGTTTATTAAAAATTTTCAATACATTTAATTTAATAGAGAATGTTTTTACCTCCTCGATAGTCCGCTTAGTAATAAAGGTCTTAAGTAAAAATTTTTCTTAATTAACATAATTAGAATTATAAGTTTATAATAAAAATTTTCTTTTAAGGACCACTTAGTTTAATAATACACTATATATCTTTTTATTTCACTTTAAAACCAATTTTTTGAGTTAGTCACAGACTAACGTAATTATACATCTATAATATTTGTCTCCATAGACATTGTAGAATGATTATCTTTATTTCATCACTTTTTATTCTTTATCAGTTAATGAAAAGTTGATAGAAAAGTTTGCGTTAGCAATAAATTGAAAAGGCATTTGCTGATGCAAAAAAATAACATTTTTATTGAATGAGTATAATATATAGAATTATGATCAATAGAAGAAGAACGACGTCGCCAGCCTCGTCGTCCTCTATTTTGCATCTTTTATTCTCTATCATATTTCGTAATTTGATTTGATTTTTATACTCTTATTACTTTAATTATGATAGTTTTTATTCATTTTCAGTTGCCCTCGCTTAAGAAAGTCATCATGATATTTAATGATAAATGATATACTATATTATTTTTATTTACTTTTATGATTTTTCTTGTTCGTTCTTTTTTTGTAACTATATAATTCAGTTTACATTTAACGTACAGTTGATGGTTTTTTCTTTTTACCATTAAGAACTTGCTTTTTGAGTAATCTTAATGCATATAGTTTTATAAGATATGATTATTGTTTGTGTTAGGGTTTGAGGCATCTCAAGGCACGCCCACTTCCCGTTTAATTTTTTTTTGTTAGTATATATTCTTTAACCTTTTATAGACAACAGCTTACTTCTATTCTTCATTACATTCTTGAATTTCAGCATCATTTAATAATTATTCTTATTATCTGCTTTTCATATCAGTGCTTTTTAACCCAGTTCTTTAATGTAGTTCATTTTGTCCATATTATTTTATTTTATTAATATATGTGTATGCGTATGTGTTTGTTTTTATGCATTGCTTAGTCCATCGATATCAGTCAATGAATAATATATAAAATAATCAGTTGCATTATCTATACAATCTACCCACAAATTGATCAGCTCCTTTATCGAAAATAAGATTAGGAAAGAAAAAGGAAAGTTTAATATTCCTTTTAATTTATTACCTTTTCTTATATACTTTTATTACTGCTTATGAATGTATTATAAATCTATATTCTACTAGAATTCATCATTCAAAATTTTAAGCCAAGCATTTGACAATTATATCCATCTTTTATTTTAATTACTATGACTTGTATACTCAGCACGTTTTTGGACCTCGAGTGCACGCAGTACATTTACGTTTTTATAGTCATTAAGAACTCGGACGATGAACATATAAATAACATTAAGCGTATTAGACGGATAAATGTTAAATCTTAACGTTCATTATATATGTTATTATTACTCAGAATCATATTGGCAGTTAATAGCAATATTTTTAATTTATTTTATCAATTCAAAACAACGATACTCAATGCTATACGCACGCACACATTTGCTTTTCTTATATAGAATATTTATTTGGTCTAGAATAAAATTATTTGTATTCGTCGATCAATTTAAAAATTAATAATACATTAAGAGTAATACTCCAACATTTAGTATACATTGGTTCAACTTTCAGCTATTTTTATAGTTGACGCATTATTACGATATTACCTACAGGAAAATTAACTTCAGTATTTAGGAGCGCGATATGTTTACAAACAATACTATGTAATATATACACTATTATATTTAATAATGTTTAGCGAAGCGTCAATTAATTTTATAATTTGCACACTCGCCACGAGTCGTTGTTCCCCTTTTTCTTCAGTTAGAAGAAAGATCATGACACTGTATCACTTGTAATATCACCTTGTATTCTCAATAATAGAAATAGATAAATAAATGTTAGTTTCTGTATATCGGATATAGCGTACACTCACTTGCCTAATCCAAATTTCATAAATATTAACTCCTTTCCCTTGGAGAGAATATCACCACCAGCACTTGCCCCTGCCATCTCTGTGAATTTTTGCATAAGATTAGGCCCAACATTTGGTTGTTGTTGTTGTTGTTGTTGTTGTTGTTGCTGTTGTTGTTGCTGTTGTTGTTGAGGATTCGAAGATTGAGCTGTAGGTATTACGGCAGGAATTCCACGGGTGGGTTTGCTTGACTGCGAACCACTTTGCATTCCTGATATTAAATTACCAGACTGTTGACTTTGTGTTTGTTGATTATACTGCTGGTGTGGTTGTGTCCCAAAACCTTGATTAGATTGTTGATAACTTCCAGGAATTTGTTGCTGATAATTATTTTGAACACTAATCTGTCCTGATTGGTTTTGCGACTGTTGATAAGATTGATTTTGCTGTTGCTGTTGACATGAATGATTTTGCTGTTGCTGTTGATAGGATTGATTTTGTTGCTGTTGTTGCATTTGACCTTGTATGCTCGGAGAGCCTCCCGGTAAGTTAGTAACACCAGATCGATTAACCACGCTTCTCCCCCTCCCCTGAAAGCATATAATACTTATATTAAAACTTATTAAATCTAAAAATACTTCGTATATTAGGATGCTGTATCTTATAATGATTATTCTTTATGATGAATACTCCAGATTTCATTGAATGTTTCGTTGTTCAGCTAATATACATCGGACAATACTTTTTAGATCATCTGGTTTTATTACTTCTGAAAAGATTTTGAAAATTGTTACAGTTATGTATTTGTGAATTGCTTATAAAATATTTTAAATTAATTATAAGAACACTAATTGTTCTTATTATTTCATTATTTGACTTCCTATATATGAAAAATTATATTTATATGTAAAATATTAGATCTACGAACAACTAATTTATTGTATTTTTGCTAATTTATAATATCAGTATAATTATTAATAGTATTTATTGTCATGTTTATTGAGGTTGTATATATATATATATATATATTCGTATGTATTATAGTTGCAGCTTAAAAAATAAATTTAGTGTGCATTGGAAAAAGCGCAAACAATCTATGTATTTTAATAGAAAAAATAAGTAGGACAGGTTTTTCAATTGGAATAATATACGTAAATACAGGTTTACATCATTATAATAGAAATTTAAAAACAGTATACTTAATATAGAATGAAACTGATATTGAATATTTTTAAGAAATATATAGAATTCATTTTTAATTATCAATTTATTTAGCTTAATAAAATATTGAATGAAATCAATAATTATAAATAAAGTTATCCATAAATTAATTTTGACTAATGATTTTTTAGTAATAATATTTTTAAATGCCAAACAAAGTTTCAAAATGAATAATAATTTATAGTCGAAAAATCATTATAAATTTATTGTACAATATTCTTTAAATACTTATGAAGAGTAATATAATATATGTATTAGGAGACAATTATAAATACTTTGTTACTAAATATCTGAAACAAAAACCTAATCAATATGTAATCGACAAATTTGCGATTTATTCGTTTTTATTAAACTGCTGTAAAATATGTTTTTATGGATTTTTTTGTGTTTAGGCTAATCGAAGCAAAAATGTTAATTTCATGAAATTATTTGATGAGAAATTCTTTCCTTAATTAATTAATTTCTTATTCTTTTGATCAATATTCGTAAAAATAATGTTTTAAATGATTAGTATTTAGAAAAATTTCACATTTAAACATTTATTAATGAATAAACAATTAATGAATAATTTCATTTGCAAATGTTTAAATTGTTCAACTAAATAAACATTGTTTTGATTACTTATTTAAAAATAAAATAAATTAATTGAAAATTTCCCATCAATTTAAGTATTAATTATCCATTAATACAAATTATTTTATTATCCATAGAAGAAGTGACACATTGATACAGCATTACATGTGAAAAAATATAATAAAATAGTTTAAATATAATAAAATATAATACAACACGACACATAAATTCATTCAATAGATTTTTTTGCAGCACGTTTAGAGATACAGACAAATGTAGTTATTTAAAGGAAAATAATAGATAATTATGAGATAGTTAGTGGGTAGATAGTTAGGTACATAGACAGGTAAATAGATAGACATGGACATAAATAGATAGTACCTAAAAAGATTAATTAATGGATTAATGGATGAATAGATGGATGAATGGATCAATGAATGAATAGATAAAGTTTATGAAACAATAAAAATAGAATTTCTTCAGAAGGAAATATACACTCACCTGTTGCTGCATATGGGGCGGTATTTGCCCAGGCTGATGAATTGTATGAGAACCCATAACACCACCTTGATTAGGCGGATGACTGGAACCATGCAGATTAGACGTAGTTACAGTCGTATGGCTATGGTGATTGGCTTGTTGATACGCTAGATGCGGTGGATTGTTTTGTTGATATTGTTGTACTTGATGTGATTGTTGGATGTCGATTAGTGGTTGTTGTAGTTGTCTAGAGTCTAAGTGACAGACAGAGACAGACACAGGCACAATGCAGGCATCTAGCAACAGAGAAGAGAACAGAACCGTGTTGTCATTCCGTGGCGCATTTCTTTTTTATCAATTTTTCTTTTAAACTATTAATTACTAGAATCGATATCAAAATATATCTTTCTAAATTTCGTTTTCTTATAATTATAAAATTAATAACATTTTTAACGCGTATTAATCTAAAGATTATTTGCGTTTATAATAATTTAAAAAATAGTTTATATTTATATTTCTATTTATATTTATTGACCTTCTAAATAATATTTATATTCTTTTTTCTATTCATATTTGTATTCATATTTATTGACTTTCGAAATAATATAATATGTACTCTATGCATAAAATTCACTATATTTGAAATTCTGTGCTTAAAAATGCAATATAATGGTTTTTTTTTAATAAAAAGATTTATATTTAATATAATAAATTATATTTTCAAAATTGTGTACCAAGATCTTTGATAAATTAATATAGCCTTTATCTAAATCCGTAATATAATTTTACTTTTTTTTTAATTGAATATCACACATAAAAATATACATATTACTTAATGTAAATTAGTTTTATAAATAGACATCTTTTATACCTATTTGATAAAGAAAACTCAAAATCTATATAAAATAATGTATTTCATTTTAACAATATCAGTGGTGCTAAAGAGAGTTAATATACTATTATCGTTAAAATATACACTATATACTTTAAGATTATAGACTGTAATTTTTATATCTTAATAGAATAAAAGAAATGTAACAAAAATTAAATTTTTTTTTAATAAAAATTTTGAAGTATCTAAGATAAGAAAAAATGATTCATAAAAAAAATAAATAAAGGTAATCATTATAAATGGCCAACATGACAACACGATACAAACAAAATCATGTGATACGACGTCCACCAACCAGTTCAGGCACACAGAATCAAGTTATGTCCGTATGTAAAGAATATATAGTATATAAATAGTATATACAATATTAATGACGTATTTTTAAGCATATTAATAAAAATAATATTAAAACGATTTTTAATATATATATATTTATATGCATTTGTAATATATAAGAAAATCTATGTGAAAAAAGTAGTTATATAAAGAAGTAATAGAGCTGTCTTGTACACGCAAAAATAAATACAGATAGACACTCGCGCACGCACGCATACACATAAATTATAAACTATTATTAATTAACTATGTATTAAGGAACACACACACACACACACACACACACACACACACACACACACATATATATATATATATATATAAACAGAGAGAGAGAGAGAGAGAGAGAGAGAGAGAGAGAGAGAGAGAGAAATTAGAGAAAAGTTAGAACAGCACTTACGTACACACACAGGCATATAATAGAATACATTGAAAGCAGGTTAGTGTTGATGACATTGTTAAGTGTTAACACATTTATAATTGTAATGTAGTAAGTATCAATAAATGTTCTTATAAATGCTTTAATAAAAATACTTGATTCATTTCTATTGAAACTGTTCATTTAGTAAATCAAAAATAATCGGAGTTTCTGTTCAATAAATAAATACTACACATACTTGCTGGAGGATTCGTCATTATTCGATTATAAGTCAATAATAAGAAGTATTACCTTTCTTTGCTTGCTTCTCGTTTATGTTCCCTAAAATTCTTGTATTGGTCACTAAAATTGTACGATGTTGTTCTTTCGGATTTAATTATTGATTATGGATATATAATATTTATGATTTGGAACGGATGTATCTATGATCATAAATTTTAATTATATTTCTACCGTTAAATACAGGGCTTTACATTCAATAATTCAATTCATATTGTCGTGAAATAATAATTTTTTATTCGACTAGTGCATGTAAAAATTCATATTAATATCAATTAAAATTAACTGTATTTTAATGTAAAATATCATCAATAAACTTAGTGATAAGTGTTACAATATTGGATTACCTATTTCTTATAAAAATATAAATATGATAGGTAATATACATATTATATCTAATTAGTATGCATATGTAAGTATTATGTTTATAATATTGCGTGTGTGTGTGTATCAGTTATACTTAATCTATTACGAATCTAGTGATTTGAATCATTGTTTAAATGTAATTTATAATTAATAATAAGTAATTAATAAACAAATTTTTTTATTTATTCTATATATTAATAAAAAAAGTTTTAATATACTTATAACTTTTTATACTTATAAATTACATTTACTTATTTATTCCTTTACTGTTTTAAATATAACCCACAAATATTAAAAAAAATGTTTACTAACTAAATATTTAATTTCGAAGATTTGAGTTCAGATTTATATCATTTGTGTTAAATAACATTTTTACATAAGTACAAAAGAAAAATCATCTTAACTATAATTTTATAAAATTATTTTCACGGAATTAAAACTTGTTGCTTAATTTTTATCTTAAAACATTTTATGATTTTTTTTATAATTTCATGCAAAGCATATATGTCGATATTTATACAAAAATATTTTAATTTAATATGTTTATTAGGTTTACTTACAATGCTTAAAAAATTAAATAATATGAATGTTTCAAATGAACATTAAGCTAATTTGAATCGAATATGCATTATCAATGTCAATTACTACGCGAAAATAAAACGCATTTAATTTTAAAAAACTCTGTTAAAGAAAATTGAGTTCATTGTTTACCTTTACGTCGATGTGTTGTCATTTCTCGAGGAGGTGGAGGTGGACCTCTTGCACCAGGGCCCTGGTTAGGACCTGGAGCCCTTCTACTACCCGGTAACGCTTGAGACTGATTTTGAACACACTGTTGACCTTGAGGTGGACCTGGTGCTTCAGTCAAAAAATTACTCGGTACGAGACCTCGAACGCCATCTAGTTCGCCCATAAAGAAACCGTCGTCATCCATATCGCCATATACATAGATTTCGTTACCAGTTTGAAAACTCAATTCGACTTGCTATAAATAAAATGAAAAAGCTATTTATAATTCATTACTATTATTACTGTTAACTTTCATGCTAAATTAGAAATCTGTAAAGTATTTTATTTTTCTTTATGTTTAAAGTTCTTACGAATGTATAAGACAATGATGCCTATTTTAATTTTTTTTTGCTTTTATAAGTAAATAAATAATTCTTCATTAATATAACAGCATTCTCAATAACAACAAATTCTCTAGCAGAAGACCAAAAACAAATTACATAAGATATTATTAAATTATGTATCTTATATTAAAATTTTATTTTTTAATTCAATTAGAAAAATTAATTATTGATATTATTGCTAATTTTGTTAAACAATGCTTGTGATAAGACTACTATGTAATTATGAATTTATATTAATTATTTATTACTCCAATATTTTAGGCTTAGACTAACATTTTAAATGCAGTCATGAACTTTTTGGCCGACAAATTTTGGTCAAAATTCAATTATTCACATATGTAAAAAATAGGTTTTAAATACAAACTTTTAAAAATATAACGAAAACTTATATTTATTACATAAAATAACACTTAAATATATAATTATATGAAATTAAAAGAAACTCACGATTAAAAATATGATTTGTGGTAATTTGTTGATTTATTTAAGCCTGTGACTTACCTCAGCATCAACATTTGGTGATAATTCTTGTGGATTGTAATCATAAAGGGCAATCATTTTTTTGACGGATATATTAGCATAAATATCGCCCCATCTTTCATTCGATGCTTGGCTTCTTTTAGCGACAATATTTTGCTGTCCACTTTGTAATTGGCTTATTTCATTAGGATTATCAATTTCCTCTACCATGTTATGTGGTACATATCCACGTCTACCACGAAATTCACCCCAGTAAAAACCATCTGCATCTATATCTTCATGAATCTTGATAATTTATCAATGAAATTAGATAACAAAATATTAAAGAGTATTAATCTATTAATCTAGGCAAATTAGGTATGTCATAAATCATTCCAAAAGTTCTAATCAATTCTAGTAAAATAAATGAATTGTACTTCAAAATATAAAATAAAATACATAAATGAAATGAAAAATGTAAATCGACAGTAGCATAATTAAATTAATAATATTACAAATTACAAACATTTATAGTTTGCATACTTCTATAATGTTAAATATATATTTTGTTATTAGTAATAAATATATATATATATATATATATATGCATTATTTGTTTATGTTCACCACTAATATCTAATATTGACTTATATTTAAAATAAAATAAAAATTTTGTATATTTTCGATGCCATTAAGAATAATGACATTATTTATTACAAATTATATTCATTAATTTTATTACTTATTATAATTAAAATGTTTGAAGTATACTTAAATAAAAGCAATATACAAAAATATTTAAGCAATTGTGATAATCTAGAGTTCTATATTTTAACTATGTATTCTGCACTGGCTAAAATATTAATAATCCGTTTCCTTTCGAGTCATTAACGTATCATATTTATCATACAAAATACAAAATTCGTCCTTACATAATGATATTTTATATTATTATTTATAAAATATTAAAAATTATATAATCTACTTATTTGCGTGTGTTCGTGTATGTGTGCGCGTCTGTATTTTTGTAATTAATTTATACAAGATCCAGTGTTTTTGTTACAATATAAAAAATTAAGCAAAACTAATAAATTAATTCTTATTTTTCATTATTTATTATTTTTAATTATTTTTAATTTATCCAGCCATTATTTATAATTAAAATGTAGTAAACTTGTTCTTAATAAACTGCAAATTATAATGTTTATGTCATGATTTTTTTTTTATTTATTCAATATATAACTATTCAATATAATATAAACTAATATTAAACATTAAAATATTTAATTAAATTTATTAGCTTAAGATACTATCGTCAATTTATTAAAATTTTAATGTATTACAAAATTTAATATATTTGAACTAAATAAAAATATTATCATTTAACAACATCAATATCTAATAAAAGAAAGAAATTTTATTCAATTTACACCTTATTGTAAGAACTTGCTATTATCTATTATACATGCGTCAGACAAATAGTAAAACTGTTAAAGAAATTAAAATTATTAACCTTGATCATATCATTTGCAGAAAAGCGTAATTCTTCTTCACATGCATCTGGGTTGGGTGACATAGTTGTTGGATCGTAATTGTAAAGAGCGACAAACCATCGAGGCCTTTTGTTGAGTTGCTGCACGCTGACAGAGCGACTGGGACCACCTTGAGCTGGCCCCATATGAGACCCTCTGTGCATTGTACCCCGTCCTCTCGAGTTGCCTTTGAAGTTGAAAATAAATACATACATTCTAAATAATCACATAATTACAAGTTACTATCAAGATTATAGAAAATTTATTTTAGTTACTTAATACAGAAATACTTTTTATTTACTTTTACATATGATATAATTCCTACAATAAATTTAAAAAATATCGACGTCAACCACATAAAATATTTATTAATTATTATTTATATATTTATTAAAATTTGGGAAAAAATTCTAATAATAAATATTATAAAAAATAATGGTTATGTAGAAAAGTAATATATAATGTTATAATAAATTCTATACGAGTTTATTAAATTTAATATTTTATATTAAATTAAAAGGTAAAAAAATTCGAAATATTCATATTAAAAATAACTTTATATATTTATCAATATAGATAAATCAATATCATTAAATATATAATTCTAATAAATAGCTATTTCATTAAGTATTCATTAAATGTGATTAGAAAAATGAATTACAATTTTTATTATTAAAAATAATTTTATTTTATTCATATACTTCTATGTTAATGCTATATCAAAAATAATTTTGAATGTAATATTATTACTATTAAAATTAATATTAATGTTATATATGAATGAATAATTTCAATATTAGAATCATATGTTAAAATTAAAATGATTTCCATGAAGATAAATTTAATAAAATAAGTATAATAAAAAGAATTTATAACCATAAAAAATGTTAAGAAAGTAATATACTATTGAACTAGTATCGTATGAATAGACACTATATTCAGTTTAGAAAATTAATTTTACATAATATTTATATATATATATATATATATATGTGTGTGTATATAAGATTTATATATTAATATATATATATTACATGAACTTTAGATATATACATATATGTATACGTACATCTATATATAAATAATGTGTATATTTTATATATTTTCTATTCAATATCAATTGTTTATAACAGGCGCATATACACATTTATATATATGAATTCATATTCAATATTAATGGATGCTCGCGTGTACGAGTGCAAATATATAGAAATAAATATATAAATAAACATATAAGGAAAGTATTATTGTATAATAAACTAAATAATTATTATATTAATTATATACAATTATGAATTGAATTATGGAAAAATTTATATAACTACATTTAGATTATAAATAAATATAGATATTTTTAGAATCTATATACATATAGAACATAGAAACATATAGAATATACATAGAGTTAGACTATAAATAAATTTATATAATAAATTAATAATATAGGTGCATTTTGAATATAAATTATATTATACGATTTTTTTAATCTACATTTGAAAATTATTTTAAGAAAATATGTCAATGTTTTCTAACTTGCTATATTCATATTAGTTTTCTCAATAAAATCGAAAATATTCTAATAAACTATTTATAAATATATACATTATATCAAACTATAATTTAAAAGTTACATTAATAGTTGATTAATATTTGTTTTAAGAAATTTAATATGTACATCAAACAAATCAATAAAAGACATTTTTTTAATTTATTAACATTCTATATTTCAAAATAATTTCAAAACGTTTTATACATTATAGAAAAATATAAAATTACACATCAAGAAATATTCATTTAAAAAGAAACAAATTTTAATGTGTGAAGATTTATTTAATTACTTACACTACTAACTAAAGTACATAAAAACAAATTTTAAACGAATAATTAGGATTTATTTATTTATTAAACTATCTTATTCGCGTATTTCATTCGTATTTATATAGCAGCAACAACTTGAATATTTATTAAGTACCAGTATCATATATATACTACAATGTACAATATTGATATTTATATAAAAATACTATTGAATGAATTGAAAAAAATACATACATACATAAACCAAATTATAACCGGATTATGGAATGTGTAATATAGAAAAAACCGTGGAAACTTGAATTACCTGATAGTAAAAATTCAAAGTTAGTTAATAATAGTATAGTAGAATTGCATTAGGTATTGCAAGCATTTGTTATAATATGCAATAACATTACATATTATTTATAATTTTTATAGATTCATATATAACATGGTACATTCACAAAGCAAATATTAAATATTTACAATTTATAATTTTTTATAGAAATTGAAATTTGAAAGTCATTCGTTATTATTTACATATTAAATTATAATTATTAACTTATAAGAAAATTAAAACAATTATATGAAAATATTCAATATTCGTTCTTATGGATTAATATTTTATATAATTATTAAATACATTTTATTACTTTTGAAAAAAGGAATACTTTCTAATAATATTATAATAAATTATAATAAAATTAATAATATTTATTCTAAATTTTGTGCATTTAATCGATTGTAATATTTCTAAATATATATTTTCCAAATGTATATATTTTATATATTACATATATTACATATATAATATGTTACATATGTAATTTTTTTAGATAATTCTTATGATTGTCAATTGCATAAAATGGAGAAATATACTTAAATAAATAATTTTGTTATGAGAAAACCTTGTAATAACTGGTATATTTTTATAAATTAATCAAAATGTTTTGTTTCAATTCTATTTATTAAATCTTTAATAACTTATTTTTTATACATTTACAAAGTACTTTTAATATTATTTTTTTTCTTTTTCTACATATCTTTATATGAATAAATTTCCATTGAATTTTTTATTAACCAAAAATCAGTAATTTTACAACTATAAGTTAATTAAATATTAAAATCTATGTATTTTTAAAAAGTAAAATGCAATTTAGTTTTTTTAAAAACCTTCATATTTAAACAAAAAATTCATCATATTTAGATATTTTACTAGATTGAATTTTAAATTGACATAATCTTACTTTGGTCAATTTTTCATCACATAATTACAAAAAATTCTATTTAACAAACGAATTATTCAAATACATTATTACGTAGTGTTTACGTTATTATTTAGTTAATTATTAGTATTTATAAATATATGAAAAAATTCAACATATTTGGATCTTATATAGAAATTTTCTGTAATTAATAGATCCTAAAATAAGAGTAGCAATAGAAAAAATGTTCAAAATACATTTTATATTAATGGAGAGACTGAAAAAAATTTAAACGCTAAAAATCATGAATATTGCTTAATCTTGTATGTTATTACTTCTTACATTTAATTAAAGACTTCAATCTTTGAATCTCGTTATATATTTTAAAATAAAAATGAACGAAAATAAAATAATTTTTTATTAATAAAAATCAGTAGCTTCTTATTGACGAAAAATTGTTTATTATAATTTCAGACAAATGTATATCAATAGAAGTGAACCAGTACTAGTGATAGTGATTCGATTGCATAGAGGATTCCGAGTTACGAGCTTCTCGGTATACCTGGTGATTGATCGTAGTAAGACTCTTGAAATCTTGTACTACTACTCTGAGACCGACAAGATCTATGACTGACTGATTGACTCTGAGCAAGGGCTACACCAGGTCCACTTTGCACCTGTCCTGACGTTCCATAACGCTGTTGCTGGTGTTGACTAGGACTGCCGTGATGGGATATACGACCACTTCGTCGTACTGCCTCACCTTCCTCTTCGCTGTAGTTCGTCTCACTCGCTGAATCTTTTGTAAATTCAGCTACGCCTACATAGGCTCAATGAATTTCATACTAACAATGTCTCTATGTTATATGTTTCTTTTATGGTCGTATTTTCTCTCATTTTCTTTTTTATATTTCTTATTAGTTTATTAGATGTATATTAGATAAATTTATACTTGCTAAATTAAATAATAAAGTTTTCAACAGAATAATCTTCATTTTATAATTTTTTATAATATTTCATGAGATAATCATATCATTGTTTCTAATATATAATTAAGTAAGAGAAATTGCTTTATATGAATGTAGACTTATTTTAATGTACTAGATAAATATTTTATAAAATCACTTATAGTAATGAAAATATACATCCAAACAAATTAATGACTAGATAATTACTGACATTTTTTTCATAAACTAAAAGAATTTATCTACCTACATATATATACACATTACTTAGTAAAACAAGTTTTACTTTCTGAGATTAATTGGCAGGATGAAAATGAATATTAATTACTTATTTAAATATAAAATATATCATTATATATTTTTTACATTTTAAATAAATTTTAATAAATTAAATAAAGAAATAAGCTATAAATAAATTAAAATATTTATGAAGAATGAATTTAAGAATTAATATATAAAATATTATTATTTTTGGTTTCAAAATCATGAATAGTTGATATTACTGTTTTTTATTAAAAAATAAGAGTAGTATAATTAATAATTAATGACCTACCCATTTGTGATATGTTTTGCCCTGGATAAATCTCCTTATCAGATAGGTTTTCATCAGTTTCAATAACAACTTGTCCATGAGCGTCAACGCGCGTTGTGCAATGTCGTCTTGAGTGATTGGATAATTGAGAGTTTGGATACCTATGTCCTGTCACTCCCACTCCAATCCCTCCTGATCGTTGCTGGTTCGGATCAACCACTACTCCTGAAAGACCCATCATCATACTAGATTGGTCCTGCATTTGCAATTGCATCTGATGTGACTGATCTCCTTGTAAATGCATCTGTTGATGTTGTAATTGAACTGGTCCACCTAATTGAGAAACTTTGTTTATTTAATAGACATACTAAATTTTATTTGCTGAAATTATATGAAATTAGAATTGAAAAGTTATTTTCTATAAAAATCATATTATTTGTATGTATAACTAAAAATTTCTTTTTCAAATTTTTAAGTGCATTTTAAATATTACTTGGCTTTAAATATCGATCTTTAAAATTTAGGATATATTTTAAAATGTTTTTTTTTAATAAAATTTATAAAGTATATATAAAATATACAAAAACCGCATATTATAAACAAATATAAATCATAACCATATATTAGTAATTAATGTAATTATTTTTAAATAATACTTTTGAAATACTGTATGCACTTATCATTTTTAAATATCAATTTAAATATAAAAAATATTTTAGTATAAAATTATATTTTAATTATGTAAATAAAGTTTTATTTAAGATGACAAATTGTAAAGAGTTTCGTGTAACGTAAAGCTATTTTGAAAATTATATAAACTCTCTCTGCGTTGATTCTTTAATTAAAAATTTGTTTTAAGAATATTTAAGAAATTCTTCATTAATTTATAAGGAACGATTTAATATTTACTATATTATGCTAAGTTTTTCTTGTAATTTAAGTTTTCTAAGTAATTATATTGTAAAAGAAAAAATTCAAATTAATCTCTTTCATGTATTAGAATGAATAGGTTAAAAAATTCTAATAAGCCTGTAAATAACTTACCTCTCAGAACGCTGCAAGGTATTGCTGTAGCACAGCTATCCCCAGATTGGCTTTCTCTGCTTTTAGTCCTTACAGTAATATGTTTAGGATTAAGTCCCATGAGCTTGTGTATATCGACGAGTGCATGATCACCAGTAGGGCTATCGACGTCAGTAACTTTTTTCCCATCAGCATAAACGGCGTAACCTGTGACTGCCGAACCATTTAGAGCAACAGGCTGCCAAGTCACTAGCAATGTTCCGTCTTGTGGTCCAGCCTCCACCTGAGTTACAAATACTCGTTCAAATAAATTAGCCCCACGCTTATACTAGACACTACCTCATGTTATTTAGAAAGACTTCATATATATATCAGAGCAACATTATTTAATAGTGTTTCAATATTATAAAATTTATTTGTATTTATAAAAGAAATTTATTTAAATAATTTTAAGCAAATATTTTATATAATATTTATTACCTATATTAAAAAAGTACTGAATTTATTCGTTATATCGAGTCATTATGTATATTTAGAATAATAAAATAATTAAAAATATTAACTTAATTTAGTAAAATAATGATTATTATCTTGAGCAACATAATAAGGAATAAAATTAATTTTATATATAGACATAGTAATATTTGCTTTAGATATTTAACAAATTCGATCATTTTATAAAGCATTCAAAAAATTAAAGTTATGATACATAATTTTAATAACACTATACATTTATACTATTTTTCTTATTAATAAAACTTAACATTAAGAAAATTATATTAGAATATCTTATTTTTAATAAAATTAAAATTTTAATGAAAGCTGTATTCCATAACAAATTTAATATCCTGATGAAATTAGGTAAACATATTAGAAAAATACTATTATCAATTAAAAAAGTAATATTTAAAATATTTATTTAAAACATCATTTATCCATTTAATTTTTTACAATTATTTTATATATTTTTATATTGTTTAGAATTGAGAATTTTTATTTTAAGTTTATAAGCTAATCGTTATATAATACTGATTTAAATCTTTCAATAAACTCTAGATATTTTCTGATTTCTTCAAAATGTATATAAAAAAGATAAAAAAGAAAAAATATATATTAATACTAATCAATGTACATTAAGTTAGTCCACCAGATAAAACATACAATAAAAATTACTTTTTTACTTTTGTGGCCAAAATCTTCAATTATTGATAATTTTTTTAACGTTGTATTAAAAAATGAAACGAATAAAAACAAGAAATGTTATATAATTTGTTAAAAGGAAAAATATAATAGAAATTCATCTAATTTATTGAAAAAATTGTCTTAAACAAGATTATTAGAAATGACATCTACATTAAACAACAGAACAATAAATTAAGACACGGTTTAAGTAGTATTTAGAATTATCCTATGGCCACCACGTAGTTGCCTGGTGGGAAAAAAGTGTGGGCAAGTGGAAGGGATGGTGCTTCAATTCAGTATTTAACACATCTGTTGTTCGTGCTTGTTATTTCGTTTATTTTATAACTACAATATAATGATTATACGTTTATGATGAGAATATGATGAGAAATAAGGCAGGAGGTCGTAAATCTCCGGATCCTCTTGATGCAATACGCTTGGTGGTAAAGTACCACACTAAAAGGTGGTAGATCTTAAGTCTTTTGATAGTTCTTCGTGTAGTGCCACGTGGTGAGGACTTGATTGCTGGTTTGCTCCAAGCTGTCTTGTGGCGTGGAAGGGTGAGACAGGCCTTCGGTAGCGGCTCTGCTAAGAGTGCATAAGATTGCACCTAGTATGAGAAAGGCCTGCAACACCTTCGTGCTCAGAGCATTAGTATGTATGAGGCTCTGTTTAGTATGAAGCTGTTGAGTGTTCCTTCCATAGTTGCTCTGCTGAGAGTATGTGCGATTTCCCGAGTGACTTAGTTTTGGATGAAGAATATCTCAAGGCTGACTAGCGCCTTGGTCGACTAGTTCATGGCTGAGTAGCTATTATCTCATGTTGCGCTTGCCTTAAATATCAACATGGAAGCTTTGTTAGTTGACAACAAAGGACCGCTCATAGTGCTAGAAACAGTGGGTGCGACTGTGGTAGGAGAAAAAATGGAAGTGATTGTGCACTGATATCATTTCGGATGTACCGGTTTACCGATCCTCCGGAAATTTTTCATAGAAGCTATGACCGTTGAATGATTTCCCCGAAATCATAACCGTTGAGGTTTTTTCTCTAAATGATAATATTCCAGATTCAGAGAATCTTCCGCCTGCCATAAGCAACTCCATGGATGATTATTCCTTTTGGTTGGAGATTGGTAGCACTGACTGTTTATGTATTGGTCTAACAACAGTGGTCGAGGCTGGTTTTATTGTGACTACTCTAGTCAGTCCATTATTGCCAGAATAAATGTTGATTACTTAGGCGAGGGTCCATTTGCACGGAGAAAAGCGCTCGGCGGTGATAAGTACCAACGAACAATCTTAATGTTATTCTGTGGATGATGGCACTTGAAAATTGATTGCTGCCGTTGTAAAAAGTGAAATGACTATTGTGACCAGAGTTGCTGTACGCGTTGTCGTATGAATTGTCAATGGGATATCCTGATATTGATGATCCATTCAAAGATGGTTTTGCAATATAGTGTGCGAGCTCTCGATGAAAAAACATCATAGAGTGAGTATTTTTACTATCTGTTAATGTTCAAAGGTGCCTTGAATGAATAGTCTTTGAGCGCTGCATCAATCCTGATGAAGATTGTACCACAATCTGAATACAATGTGTTTTCAATTCCTCGATGAGCTGTGAATCGTCTGTATGCGGATATGAAACCATTGATTATGTAGTTACTGACTACTTCGATATGTACCGCAGATGTAGCAAACACACAACACGCAAATCCATGATTTGTTGACGTGAAATGCTGCTCTCTCCCTGTTACTACTTCGTGCTCTCGGGCACTATACGTTGTCGTTAGATTCAGTCTTATTGTGGAAGTGAAATGCTTATCTCTACCTGCTGCCACTTCATGCCCTTGGGCACTATATGGAAAGGCTTGTGATGGATTCTTGTGAGATAGGCCTTAGATGGCCTCGTGCTAGACGCACTAGTATTGGAAGGATTGCAACTGCTTCTGCTCGGGGCACTAGTATTGATTATACCTAAAGTGTTGATGAACTGTGACTTGCTTTGGTTAAAGCTGAGATTTGTTCATCATGCAGTAGTGTATTATGCCGTTTCTGACACTTCATACAATTGCGTTTGCTCTTGCACATGTAAATGGTATGAAGACCCGAGCAATTGTAACACAAGTTTCGGTTACTTAGGAAATCCTTTCTGTTCGCTATCGGCATTTCAGTGAATATTGGGCATAAGGTCAACAAATGTTGCTATTGACAGCAGTCGGACATCTTGTTATTCTCGGGGCTTTCTTGTGGATCCTTCAATTCAATCTTTATTGTCGACTGATAAGCTTTTACCGTCGTCTCCCTTAGTGTATGAGACAGGGCTATGCGACTAGGTTCAGAGATTGTTTTCTGTTTTCCAGAGCCCTTACTCGAGACATTGGGAACGTTTTGAATTACTCGAACTTGGAGTACGAGTTTGAGTCGCCTAGTGAGCATTCCCATTGATATCTCGTGTACTGAGTGAGTCTTTGTGTGACTTGGTGGACGGTTATTCAATCCCATGAGTCAATTGCGATGTCTAACTGGCATAACTTTTTTAGCTAGTCACTTGCATCACTAATTAGGTCTTCTATCAACTCTGCCTCATCCTTCACTATTGATAATTTAGAGACGAGTTCGTTAGATTCTCCAAGTCAATGTAAGTCATTTTGTAATGAAAAACTCAAATGACCTTGACTGCTGAGCGTTCTAGTGATGTTCGGAGGTAATGAAGTTTTTGTACCTCCCTGAGCCCATGGCTATCCATGATGATTGATTGAAACATATCTCAGAACATAGCCCATGCTAAGTAATTGCCTGAGAATTTGGGAATTGGAACGTCTGGAAGACGAACCACTTCCCTTGATTGCCCTATCGTTGGTGATGCATCTTTCGACCTTGTGGTTGGTTTTGTTGACTCATTTAAGCCACCATGTAGTTTGTTGATGAGTGATTGCACAGTTGAGTATTGCTCGAGTTCGACCCTTCGTGCCTTATTCATGAACTATTCACGATTTTTGCATCAACGCTGCCGGGCATGTTAACTTCAGGTAAGTGTGTTCTTTGTTAAAGGCCTTGTGTAATTCTTCAACCTGTTCTTTCACAACCAATACTTCTTCAATGGATGTGTCCAAATAAGATAAAGGGGGCTGGTTCATTAACTTGTTTAATGCTATAATACGATTCCATGGACTTTGAACTTACAAAAGCTCAGCGGGGATCGCTCTGTGGCGACGCTGTGAGTTATGTGTACTTACCTTTCTAGTGTAATAGGTACATCAGGATTTGTACTTTCCTTTGTTTCCTTCTACTGGCGGTTTGGCATTTTCTTAGTGATATATAGGAGAAGAAGAACAACGGAATCCTTACGGAGGAGATTCATTAGTACATTGTGACACAGTTACCGTGTATCTTTATGATAGAAACTGGAGTGTTGATGGTATATGATCAGAGAGTGTAGTGGCATGTCTATTGATCGTGTAAATACTGAAGGAATACACTGACTTCCACTTATCCGGCTCGAAGGACCAAAATGTTTAAAATTCGACTATGGCCACCAGGTAGTTGCCTGGTGGGAGGAAAGTGTGGGCAAGTGGAAGGGATAGTGCTTCAATTCAGTATTTAACACATCTGTTATTCGTGCTTGTTATTTCGTTTATTTTATAACTACAATATAATGATTATACGTTTATGATGAGAATCGCTGAGATTTTGCCGTTTCTTGATTGTTGCCAAATGGTGTCAGTATACTCTACATGTAAAGGCAGGAGGTCGTAAATCTCCGGATCCTCTTGATGCAATACGCTTGGTGGTAAAGTACCACACTAAAAGGTGGTAGATCTTAAGTCTTTTGATAGTTCTTCGTGTAGTGCCACGTGGTGAGAACTTGATTGCTGGTTTGCTCCAAGCTGTCTTGTGGCGTGGAAGGGTGAGACAGGCCTTCGGTAGCGGCTCTGCTAAGAGTGCATAAGATTGCACCTAGTATGAGAAAGGCCCGCAACACCTTCGTGCTCAGAGCATTAGTATGTATGAGACTCTGTTTAGTATGAAGCTGTTGAGTGTTCCTTCCATAGCTGCTCTGCTGAGAGTATGTGCGATTTTCCGAGTGACTCAGTTTTTGCTGAAGAATATCTCAAGGTTGACTACCGCCTTGGTCGACTAGTTCATGGCTGAGTAGCTATTATCTCATGTTGCGTTTGCCTTAAATATCAACATGGAAGCTTTGTTAGTTGACAACAAAGGACCGCTCATAGTGCTAGAAACAGTGGGTGCGACTGTAGTGCAAGAAACAATGGAGGTGATTGTGCACTATCGGTATCATTTCGGATATACCGGCTTTTCCGAACCTCCAACGACCGTTGGACACTTTTCTTAGAAGTTAAGACCCTTGAAGCATTTCCCCGAAATCATAACCGTTGAGGTTTTTCCTTGAAATGATAGCCATTGGGATTTATGATTCTCTGAATCTCGAACAAGTAGCATATTATATTAGTGACATAAATATTTATTTTTATAATATTTCGAAAAATAAAATGGGTACATAAATTATTTTATTAATAAATTCAATAAATATTAAATGAAAAAGCTACTTCTGAAAAATAAAACAACACATTAAATCGTAAAATATATAGTATTTGAACGATATTTTTTTCAACAATGGAATGACTGTTTGAATTCTGAAATTTAACACACGATTAACAAATGTAATCTAATTTAATATTTCGTATTAATATTCAACGTGAAGAGAATTAAAGATAATGAACTAGGTACAAACTTGGATATCGACCGGAGGATCAGGCAATCCTTTAGGTAAAGTCTTGAAGTGCACATGACAGGCCTGACTATTAGCCATTTGAGCATTTTGGTCCTCAAAGTGCGTAGCCCTTAGATTTTTAGCTTTAACAGTGACCCTATAGATTGTTGACGGTGCAAGACCAGTTATCGTATGCCGATAAACACCTGGCTTAACAGTGCGTACCTCCACATTATTGACACAAACAATGTGCTGATGATTGCTATTACTTGGTAGCCAAGATATAACAGCACTCGTAGCTGTCACATTCGAGGCCTTAACAGCTGTCGGACCAGTTGACATATCTTTACCAATCACCATAGTACATGCAGCATCACGTGATGTACGGCGTGAATGCGTTACCGAGCGTACACTTATCCGATGTGGCTGTGAACAAACAATTTATTTATTACTAAATTTTATTAGTCAAAGATACACAAAATATTTTAATGTAATTTTAAAAATGTAAATTATTATTATTCATATAAAAATATTGTTAATAAGGTCAATTAATTTTGTATAATTAATATATCTTTATTCAAATATATTGAATTTCATTTCTACTTTTTAAAATTGTTTTATTAAAATAATATTTTATTAAATATTTTAATTATTAAATAATTTATATACTAATATTATAATATTATTGATTGAGGTGGCTTATTTAGAATTTTTTAGTTAATTTTAATTTTTTTTAGTTGATTTCGTCGCTACATAACGTTAGTTACGTATTTTACTTTCTTTAACGATTAAATAGTATTTATATAATATGAATTCTGATATGAAAATGTATAAAATATTATAATTAAAATTATATTTCTTTCTCACTAATAATCTTTCCTCGAAAACTATGTCCTTACAATCTTAATTAACAATGTATATTAACTAGCAACATTATCCAGATTTCATATAAATGTTATTATTTAAATCCATACAATCTGTATTAATACAGCATAGTAATACAATATAAAATACACTATAGTGAAAACTAATTGTCAGACTAACCCTATTTGAATCAACTCCTTCAACAAGTGCTCGTGTTCTTTCAGATGCCTTGACAGTCACTTTTAGAACACCATCCACGTACACATGATAAGACTCGAGCTGATGAGGATTGTCTGGAGCTGTCCATCCAATTAAGACGCTCTTATTCAGTTGGCGTTCAAGGGTGAGATGTTGTGGCGCCGGAACTAGGTCCGAAAACAGGTAGACTTCTTCAGAAGGAAAAAGAATAGGACAAGCCTAGCTGTAGCTAGAAATTGCTCTAGTTGTCTAATCTTTATAAGCGAGCCTAAATAACCAGCATTCAATACAGTTGTTGCCGGAATGTGCACTGACGAGAATGCACCAGAAGGATTTATACCTACCAAACCGCCGATCCAAAAATTTAAAAAATACTTTATTCTTTCATTATTTAATTTCTTTTAAAAACAAACTATCTTGAAAAATAATTACAGTTATGATTTAAAATTACAAGAATAATTTCATATACCAACTAGAAAATCATATTATATTTCTTATATCATAAGCAATAGCGATCAAACAGGTAATAAATTGAAAAACCTAACATTAAAATTAAATAGATTATTTAGATATTTTCTAATCCATATCCATAAAGTAAATACTTTCAATAATTCAAAAATAATTATTTTAATTACTTACAAAATTAAGAATTAAAAAAAGAAAGAGAGTTTCACTTTATACCAGCCGTACGTAAATTAATATCTATGAATTAAATTTATTATTTTTTAAAAGAATTTATACCGACAATATTTTACATAAAAATTGTGTAATAAAAATATTTTAACCTAGTGCTAACAATTAATTTTTTCAAAGCATTGATTAGAATTCACTGTTTACTAACATTTTTTTCAATATACTAAATTATCCTAAAAATTAGTTAGAACTGTTGTTAGTTTATAAAATCTCAAAATATTATTAAACATACATTTGTTAAAGTATTATTATAAATACAAATTACAGCAATGACATACCTGGCGGCTCTTGTTCATCTTCTTCAGCGATATTATCGAGTTCTGCATACGCTGATAGTTCAGCTTGACGATTGCGATTTCCTTCTTCTAAAGCTGCCAATTCTAAATCGATATCCTGTAAATAACACTAATATCCAAAATATTAAATCTTTCATACTTTATAATAAATTATTTACAAAAGAATTATAAAATAATTTTAAACAGTTTAAACTTTTACTAATTTTAATTATTTTTTTTTTGATTATTCATTTCTGACGAATACTAAATTTTTTTTTAATGATCAATATGTCATTTTTAATAAATCACATATAGCTTATACAGATATTATCATTGTGATAAATAATTACACGAATATTGTAAAAATGCAATCAAATACATTTAAATAGTAAATATCTAAAAACATCACAGTAAGAAATTTGTATCCGTTATGCTGTTACAATATCGAAGCAAGTAATATAGGTAGCTTGTAATATAGAAATTCAATACTTATAAAATTATATACGTTAAATCATAATGTTGCAAAGAATATCATAAATAATTGTATTATCTAACCACATAGCGAGTTTCAATAAAAAAAATATAAGAAGTTGTACTTGAAATTATAACTGTAAATATTAATACTATTATTTTAATAAAATACAATTCAATTAATAGTCTTTTAATAAATTAGTTTTTAGACACTCAAAATAAAAAGGGGCTATCTTCTTTTTCTATATACATTAGATTAGACTATATATAGAGTAGTATACAAAATGTAGATATATATATATATATATAGTATATATATATATATATACAATATATAGTACATTACATAATATATATATATATATATATATATATATATATAT